GGTGGTGGTGGTGGTGAAGCAGGCTCCCCGCTGAAACTATGACCGGAGCAGAAGGCAGTGGCTTAGCCCATGGAGCCACCCAGGCGCCCCTAAAAATTGTGTTGTTTTTTTAAAGCACCCTCTGCAGCCGCCGAGGGCCTCGAACCTACGACCCCCAGGTCAGGAGCGGCGTGCTCTACCGACTGACCCAGCCACGTGCCCCCAGTCCGGCTGCTTTCTCTCCGCATCCACACTTTCCAGTTGGGTCCAAGGTGGCCTGCAAATTAACAGGAGCCAAGAAGGCTAGAGGAAGCGGAGCGGGGTTCAGGGGAGCATGAGGGGGAAACGACGGAAGCAAGGGCAGCCGAGGAGCCCTACAGGAACCGCCGCAGCCCACCGCTGGGCAGAGCCGAGCGCGGACCCGGTTGCCCCCGGTGCCACCTCCTCCGCACCCGGCGGCGCTTCTGCGCCCGCGCCTCCCGGAACTACAAATCCCAGCAGCCCCCGCGGCTCGGGCCGGAAGTGCTGTCCAGCTGCGGCGAAGGGGAGGGCGGCGGCCCGGCGGCGGGAGATTCAAACTTGGAAGGAGGAGGAACATGGAGCGGCGGAGAGCGGGCGCGGGCCCCGCGCTGTGTGAGTGCAGAGCCGGCCGAGGAGGGCGGCGGGCCTGCGCCCGGTCGGGTCTCGGGCGGGCTCGGGTGGAGGCGGGAGCGGCGAGAAGCCCAGACGCCGCCGCGCTTCAGGGCTTCCAGGGTTTTCTCCGGCGTCCCCGAGTTCTGGGTCTGGGCGACGGGGTTGGCCTGGGCGGCCCCACCAGAAGGCAGCAGTGACGGGCGGCAGGCGTGCTGGCCGAGCGCCACCGGCGACGGGACGCCCGGAGAGCTCGGCTTCGCGGGTGCCGAGACCGTGCGGAGACCGCGGGGGTCGGCCGGGGGGCTCTTAAGGGCTCGCTCCTCGGCCGTGTCCCGCGGCTTCAGCTCCAGGGGTCGGGCCGGGGTCCCTGACCCGCGTTTGCAACAGCACCGCTTCTCCGCTGCCCCGGGGGATCAGGCGGTGGCCCGCGGGCCGCATTTGCAAAAGCACCGCAGTCCAGAGGGACTGGGCTCAGGGGTCGGCGGCCAAGAGGCTGCTGTCTGACCTCCGCGCCAAAGGCAACATCTCATTTTTCCAGCCCTCCCCCTCTCGGGCCAGCGGGGTCCAGAAAACTAAGGCCGCGCCCTGGAAAACGAAGGCCGTGTTCAGGATCTGTTGAAGCAGAGCTAGTTCTGGACCCCAGAAGCCGGAGGACTGATGGTTTTCACGACTGTGTGTGTGTGTATGTGTGCGCACGCAAAGCTCTGCGCATCTCACACAGCCCTCAGCTCATGACTCTGGGTGACGGCATCTGCTCACCCGTTTATTTTCCGTGCTTAGCAACCAGCCACGTTCCTTGTACACACCCTGTAGGAACTACAGTGGGCGGGTGCTGTGGGGTCTGACCTAGACGGGTGTGTGTGTGCGTGCGTGTGTGTTAACGTGCTTAACTGCCGGTTCTAGTAAGCCCTGCCCCTCGTCCAGGTCACGTTGCACGATATGCAGTATCAGGTGAAGAACCGGACTGACTTCGAGTGTTGGGTCCAAGACAGAGTTTTCTCTCATCAAGCCCTCTGTGTTTGCTTCTTGTGTGTGTGTACAGAGTTCTCTCGGCCTGCCTGATTTAAAAAAAAAAAAAGATTTATTTATTTATTAGAGAGAGAACACGGGGCAGAGGCAGAGGGAGAAGCAGGCTCCCCCCTGAGCAGGGAGACCAGTTCAGGGCTGGATCCCAGGTCCCGGGATCATGACCTGAGAGAAAGCAGATGCTTAAGGACTGAGCCATCCAGGGGCCCACGTTCTTCTTTTCTAATGCTAATCCGTGTTTCCTGAGAATAAAGATCCACCAGCCCGGGGCCTGGCCAGGGCCTGACAGAGAGAAGGTAGCACGGGAATGACTGGTTGTTGAGGGTTGAGTCCCAGTTGGTCCTCCTAACCCAGCCTCTGGGAGGGGCCTGAGAAGGATGACACAGGTCCAGGTCTTGGAGAACTCAGAGGCTGTTAGGGATGAAATAAGTGGCTGTGTCCCCAGCCATGGAGGAGTCTGGACATCCGTGTGGGAGCCCTGAGGGAAGGGCTTGGAATAGGCTGGAAGGAGGAGTCAGGAGATGGCTGGAGGGAAGGAGCAGGGAGCACCTCTGTCACAGGGCGTGCCGACCAGGGCAGCTTTCCGGGGCCGGGGGCCGAAGATCGGAGCCAGGGGTGTCAGGAAGAGGGGGACGCACGCGGGTGCTTCGGGTGTCGGGGCAGAGTTGCCCAAGAAAGTCTGTTGAGAAGCAGCTTCAGTGCCATGGCCCTTTGTCTAACACTCCTCTCCTCGACCTTGTCCCCCTTCCCTCCTCAGACGAACGCCTCACGGCGGAGGAGATGGATGAGCAGAGGCGACAGAATGTTGCCTATCAGTACCTGTGCCGGCTGGAGGAAGCCAAGCGGTGAGCCAAGGGACTGCCCCCTTCTGGTCCCCCGTTTCCCATCCTGTTCACTCCAGGCACCTACCCTCTAGCCGATGCAAAAGGCCTGGGGTCCAGTCTTCTCTTTTAAGACTTTATTTTGTTAGCGCGGATTCGGGTTCAACATTAAGAGGAAGGTCGAGATTCCCCAGGTACCCCCGGCCCCCACACGTACGCAGCCTCCCCTGTCAACATCTTCAGGCAGGGCGCCCCCTGTTACTACTGATGAGCTCACCTGGACACGTAGCCTCCCAAAGTCCGTGGCTGACCTTGGGGATCACTCTGCCCTCAAAATCCTCCGTGCTCTGCCTCTTTGTGCCCCCATCCCGCCCCCTGGCAAGCTCTCCTCTCTTCTCTTGTCTCTTTGGTTTCTCCGTGGTTGGAATCATACAGTATGAGCCTTTTCAGACTGACTTCTTTCACTTAGTCGTACGCATTCAAGGTTCCTCCGTGTCTCTCAGGGGTTGACAGCTCGTTCTATTTTAGCGCTGACCGGCCTTCCGTTGTCTGGATGGACCTCGGTTTTCTAGTCCGTCACCTACGGAAGGACGTCTGGGCTGCCTTCAAGTTGGGTGCTTGTGAACGAAGCCTCCACACACGGCGGCGTGCTGGTGTTCGTGGGCCGCGTGTTGTGAGTCCTGTGGGTGAATACCAAGGAGCACCATTGCCGGGCGGGAGTGTGTCTCGTTTTGTAAGAAATCACGAAACCTCTAGAGTGGCTGCAGCATCTCAGCGGTCCCAGCAGCCGGGACTGAGAGCTCCTGGTCCTGCTCGTCCTCATCAGCATCCCACGTGGTCAGGGCCCCAGATTTCGGCCATTCTGATAGGTGCGTGGTGGAGTCTCATTGCTTTCGTTTCCATTTCCCCGATGGCACGTTCTCCCCCACCCGATGGTGGGGGATCTTTCCAGACGCTCGGTTCCCATCCCTGCATCTTCCTCGGCGCCGTGTCTGCCGGTGGGCATCTGTGGCCCGTATTCTGATCAGTTGTTTGTTCTTGTTGTGTGTGTGTTTCTGTGAGCTCTGAGCCTCACGTGGGGCTCGAACTCATGAGCCCAAGATCAAGAGTCACACGCTTCACCCTCTGAGTCGGCAGGCACCCTGTTCTCTGTGTATTTCTTTTCTTTTTTCTTTTAAGATTTTATTTATTTGACAGGCAGAGATCACAAGCAGGCAGAGAGGCAGGCAGAGAGAGAGGGAGAAGCAGGCTCCCCGCTGAGCAGAGAGCCCGATGTGGGGCTCGATCCCAGGACCCTGGGATCATGACCTGAGACAAAGTAGGCTTAACCCACTGAGCCACCCAGGCGCCCCTCTTTGTATATTTCAGATACTAGTGTTTTTAATTTTTTTTTTTTTTTAAGATTTCATGTATTTATTTGACAGAGAGACAGGGAGAGAGGGAACACAAGCAGGGGGAGTGGGAGAGGGAGAAGCATGCTTCCTGCTGAGCAGAGAGCCCAATACGGGGCTCGATCCCAGGACCCTGGGATCACCACCTGATCGGAAGGCCAAACGCTTAACGACTGAGCCACCCAGACTCCCAGATACTGGTCTTTTATTAGATGTGTATTTTGCCAATGTTTTCTTCCCATGTCTTCCCATTCTCTTTTCTAGAGAAGTTATTCATTTCATTTCATCTATTTATTTATTTTTAAGATTTTATTTACTTGACAGAGAGCAAGAGAGCACACGAGCAAGGTAGGGGAGGGGCAGAGGGAGAAGTAGCCTCCCACTGAGCAGAGAGCCCAAGGATGTGGGGCTCGATCCCAGGACCCCAAGATCACGACCCGAGCTGAAGGCAGACGTGTAACTGACTGAGCCAGTCTGGTGCCCCAGTTTCTCATTTTAATTAAGTCCAGCTTATCAATTATTTCTTTCAAAGATTGTGTCTTTGGCGTTGTGTCTAAAAAGTCATTGCCTGGGGTGGGGGTGGGCGGGGAGTCATCGCCGGGGCGCCCGGCTGGCTCAGTCTGTAGAGTATGCAACTCTTGATCTTGGGGTCACGCGTTCAAGCCCCACATTGGGGACAGACGTTACTAAAATAAACATTTTTTAAAAAGTCATGGCCACACCGAAGGTCACCTAGGTTTTCCCTTGTGTTCTCTTCTAGGAGTTTTACAGTTTGGTATTTGACGTTTAAGCTGATAATCTATTTTGAGTTGATCTTGGTAACGGGTGTGAAGTCTCTGTCTCGGGTTGCCCCAGCGCTGTTGGCTGGAGCGACGCCCCCTGCTCCGCTGGATCGCCTCTGCTCCTCGGTCAGCGGTCAGCTGGCTGTTCTGCGGGTCTGTTTTTCTCCCTCTGTTCCACGGGTCAGCCCGTCGTTCCCTGAGACCACTCTGTCTTGATGACTGTGGCTCAGACGGGCGGCATCATCCTCCAGCTTTGTTCTCGGCCTGCAATCTGGTGTGGGCTCTTCCGGACCTTGGGCTCTCCGTACCAACTTTAGGGGCGTTATCTCGATAGCCACCAAATAAGTTGCCAGGAGCCCCTGTGGGATGGCGCTGAACCCGCAGACCCAGCCGGGACGAAGTAGCGCCTGGGCGGGTGTGGACTCTTCCTGCCCACGAGTGTGGGGTCCCCTCCCCCGAGTTGGTTTGTCCTTTGATCTTACTCATCAGGGTTTCCTAGTTCTCCTCCGAGATCTTGTATATATTTTGCTGGATTTATACCTAAGTATTTCATTTTTGGGGTGCTAATGGACACTGTGTTGTGCTTTTAGTATCAAGTTCCACTTGCCCGCTGCAGTACCTACAGCAGCGACCGACTTTTGTGTGTTAGCCTTGTGTCCCACAGCCTTGCGTGAGGTTTTGTGTCGCCTTCTTTCACATTTTCCCCCTAGACGGTCACGCCATCGTGAGCAAAGACAACACCACCTCCTTCTTTCTCCGTGCGCTCTTCCGGGCTGTCTCTAAATGTAGGGCCGTCTGCTCGCATAGTCCCCGCAGCACCGTTCTAATACCCACAGAAGTTACCCATTAATCCTTGGGAGATCAACACCCGGCCATTTTCAAATTTTCCTGATTGTCTGGAAAAGTAACCTATTTTTCTATTTTTCGATTGCCTTCGTCAAAGAAGGTTCCAACAAAGCTCACAGGTTACATCTGGTTGTTGCGTCTCTTGAATCTTCTTTAATCCAGAATAGCTCACCTTCCCTTCGCACTTCTTCATGTGACCGACTTGGAGAAGCCACCGGCCTGCCGGCCATGTAGACGCATCACATTCTGGGTTTGTCTGTTGACCCCCTTGTGTCCAGCGGCTTGCTCCTCTGTACCCCGTGTTTCCTGCACATGGACGCTGCCTCCACGGCTCTCTTTCTAATCTGCAGAGGATTTCTAGCGTTCTCCGGGAGAGCAGGTGGCGTGGGTAGGCCAGAAGTCAGGTGGCTGTGGCTGGGAAGGCACAGAGCGAGGCATGACTGGCTCTCTTTGAGGATGGAGGCTTTCCTGGAGGTGTCCGTGCACGGACGTTTGGAGGTCCCATGCCCCCCCTCATGCCACCATCAGTGACAATATGCTTCCCGAGTCTTCTCCCAGTGTGCTCATACTCATTAGCTCGTGTCCCCCCTTGCACACCCCCGGCAGCCGCCCCCCCAAGGCAGCGAGAGCAGCCGAGGCCTCTTCAGTCTGCGGGTCACACGGTGTGGCTCTGAGATGTGTGCGTGCATGCGGGGGGATGCTGTACAGAGCAGGTCTTCCGATTCCAAGGGCTCTGGCCTTTCTGTCCCTTTTTGCGGCTCCCATCACCTCGGGGGGTTCCCCACGACCCCCATCGTCATCAAAGTTGGGTTCTAATCTGTGTAAACATAACCCTTCAGGCCTGGGTTCTCAGAAAACTCGCAGAGAGAGAAGCGAGCAGACGCGGTGCGGTGGGACAGGCGTGTGAACCAGACCGAGAGACAGGGTCTCGCGGGCGGCTGCTAAGGGCCTCCCTGCAGACACACGGGTTCAGGATCCATCAGGGAAGATTCCTGGGGGTGAGCAGGGGCCCAGGACTGGCCATTCCAGCGCCTGCGGCAGCTTGGGATCCAGTGGCAGCAGCTAGAGCACGGGCAGAGGGAGGAGCTAGGAGTAGGACAGGAACCAAGAGTCAGGGACCCCTCTGTGCTGGGGGGATGGGGTGGCGACGGGCTCTGTTCCGCTCCCGCACTTTCAGCTGGATGGAGGCCTGCCTGAAGGAGGAGCTCCCTTCGCCGGTGGAGCTAGAGGAGAGCCTCCGGAACGGAGTGCTGCTGGCCAAGCTGGGCCACTGTTTTGCGCCCGCCGTGGTCCCCTTGAAGAAGATCTATGATGCGGAGCAGCTGCGCTACCAGGTGGGGAAGGGAGGTCTCTACCTTCCAGCTGCTTCCTCTCAAGCTTCCCCTTCTCAAGGCTGTGACAGTAGGGCAACCATATATTGTCCAAACTTGGACATGGTTGCGGATGAAAGGGGCTGCTCTCAGCCACTGCACGGGGTCACCGGGAGTGGCTCGGGTCCCCCTGGCTGGACACTGTGTGCAGGCTTTAACAGCAGGGGACTCTTGCTAGCTAGGCGCTGAGATGCCCCTGGTGGGACGCTTCTAAGCCAGTCGACACTCAGAGGCTTATGGGCTTTGCCGCCGTGACGATATTCCTGGGCTTGCTGCCCCTTCCGTGCGCCCTGGCCAGCCCAGCCCTGTCTCCTCACCTCACCTCCGGACTCCCCTTTGCTGGGAAGCCTTCCTGGGTGGTTAATCCCACATCTGCGCCTTCCTTCCCAAATGTCCTGCGGGTTAACCTTTCCTGGTGGTTTCCATTTGTCTGTGTCTCTCTGTCTTCGGGGCTGGGGAATGAAATATGGGAAACCCATAGGCCAGGGTCCTCTGGCTCCTCCTGCCCTTCAGGCTTCCGAGCTGTGGTCTGGGCTCTGGCCACGAGGAACCCTGAGAACCGTGGAAATAGATTCTTGTCTCTTCCCCTCCCTTTCAGGCAACCGGCTTGCACTTCCGGCACACGGACAACATCAACTTGTGGTTGTCTGCGGTGGCCCACGTCGGCCTGCCTTCGGTAACACTGGGCCTCGAGATTGGGGTTCATCTTTGCCCCCCACTGTCCCCCACCCCCTGTGTGCACGCTTCGTCCCCCGGGACCATTCAAACCCCGCCTCGTTCCTCTCCTGAGTGAACCTGATCGGAGGGTTTCGATGGTGGCTGCCTGTCTCTCAACCGGGCCACCTGGTGTTGCCTCTCCTTCCCTCGGGTGAGGCAAGTGGAAGGAGATGGAGGCTCCCTTACCCCAGCTGCAGGGTCCCCACTAGTGGGCGAGGCCCCCGTGTGCTGCTGGAGATGGGCTCACGGGAGCCAGGCTTCTTCCCAGGTCGACAAGCAAGGCCATACCACAGGCCACGTCCCTTGGGGGCGGACTCGGAAGCCCAGCCCCTAGACCCCGCCGGATGCATGCTGCGTGTTCCTTGGGCTTTTCAGACCTTACATGTTTCTTGACTGTAAAGGGGCATGGTGACCCCCTGGACCCACCCTGGACAGTTGTCAGGAGGACTGGGTGGTCTGCGCGGTTCCCCCTGCAAACAGTAGAGAACTGAGCGCATTAGGGCACCGCGGGACTCCACCGTGTATGTCTTCCTCCGGGGAACTGGGAGACAAGGAGACGGCAGCAAAGAAAGGCTCAGTGGGAGGCAGGGGAAACCGAAGCATCTGTTCTCAGTGAGGCGGGAACACAGTGAGGTCCCCAGGAATCTCAAGTGGCCAAGAGGTTTTGGGGTTAGACCTCAGCAGTCCCCAGGGGGCATGGGACGCCATGCTCCAAGGACTCGGTTCTTTGAGGGGCCCCCCCACTGCTCCGAGGCCTCTGGCTTAGAGACAGGGGTGAGTTCCCTGCCCCATCATGGTCCGTGGCGGCGTCTGCCTCCTTGGGCCTCTGCGGGAGCATGGCCGCTTGTCTGGCGAGAGTCCAAGGCCAGGAGCACAGTCTCGCTGTGTCTCTAGGACGCATAGGGGGCCTCATTCTCCCAGAGGATATGGCCCTCATCCTACAACCTTGAGAGACCTGCCTGTGTCTAGTGAGCCCAGGGCTGTGTCTGTGACTGGGCCTTGGTTCAGTATGTGGCCCCAGGGCCTTTCTCTAACGCTGAGTGTGTAGGTACAATGCTGGCTGTAAATGGCCGGGGAGACGGGCCTAGAAGTCACAGGCCACAGAGGAGCACACAGCCGAGTGGGAGAGGACACCGTTCCTCGTCCCTCTCTCTGTGGCTGATGTAGTGGTGTTTCTGATGGCTGTAACCAGCTGGCTTCTCCCCCAGACCTTCCTCCCGGAGACCACAGACATCTATGACAAGAAGAACATGCCCCGGGCGATCTACTGCATCCACGCGCTCAGGTGAGGGGCCCTGAGCTCTCGTCCTCTGTTTCCTCCCGGTCGATGCAGCCGCAGATGTGGGAGCAGGAAGGAGGGCGGGTCAGCCACAGGAGCGCGTCTCAGGAGGGGGAGACTGTAGATGTCTGCGGTTGTGTCTAGGTTTATGAGCAGGTCTTTTTACTGGAGAGAGAGAGCATGCGCACAAGCCGGCGGGGGGGGATAGAGGGAGAAGCGGACTCCCCGTGGAGCAGGGAGCCGGACGCGGGACTCGATCCCAGGACCCTGAGATCATGACCTGAGCGGAGGGCAAACGCTTCACCCACTGAGCCGCCCAGGTGCTGTTCGTGTGCATCCAGCAAACGTGGACACGTTTGTGTGTGTGATTCGTGGGGTGAAGGAAAAGGGCAACAGGGAAGGGTCTTCCGCTGGTGACCAGGGCCCAGAGGAATCAAAACAGGCCCCATCAAGAGCGTCACAGGCGAGTCACTTAGCGTGAGTGGTGACCGCTGTCTGGCTCTACCCACGGCCAGCCATTAGCAACCAGTGGCTAAATCCTAAATCCTAAAGTGACCGACCCATCCCCGGGTCTGCCTTGTCGCCTCCTCCTGACTTCATTTCCCACGTCCGCGTGCCCGGGCCTGCGGGTCTCGGCCTACGATGTCCTCTCCGAACACTGACTGCTACAGCTGTGCGCCCTTCTCTGGGAAGTCCTGACCCCCCGACCTCTCCACCATCCCGTTTCTCTTCTGCAGCACTTGTCTCGGGCTTGCTTCCAGTAACCTCACTCCCCGTGGACCAGGGGGCCTTGGTCCCCACGTCGGGGTCCCCGTGGATCTCACACAGACCCACGCGTCCAGCACACCAACGTAAATAGGGCCCAACGCCTTTCCTTCTTTTCCAGTCTCTTCCTCTTCCGGCTGGGACTGGCCCCGCAGATCCATGATCTGTATGGGAAAGTGAAGTTCTCAGGTGAGCCCAGCTCCTTCCCCAGCCGCCTGCATGGGAGGGTCTCCGGGGGGCTCTGGCCCTGAGGAAAGGCTTCTGTGGTGTCTTCACAGCCGAGGAGCTCAGCAACATGACCGCTGAGCTGGCCAAGTACGGCCTCCAGCTGCCGGCCTTCAGCAGGATTGGGGGCATCCTGGCCAGTGAGCTGTCGGTGGACCAGGCTGCAGGTAGGGGCCGGGCTCTGGCCTGCGAGGGGCGGGCTCCATGGGAACGGGGAGCCTCCGGGCCTCAGATGGGTTCTGGGTGCCTCTCATCGGTGGGAGGCTGCCAGGCCTGCCGGGCAGGGGAGGGGAATGATACCAGAGCGGCTGCGGCTGGCCTCCTGACCTTGTTCCCTCACCCCTCCCAGTCCACGCCGCCGTCCTCGCCATCAACGAGGCAGTGGAGCGGGGGGTGGTGGAGGACACCCTGGCGGCCTTGCAGAACCCCAGCGCCCTGCTGCGGAATGTCGGGGAGCCTCTGGCGGCCGTCTACCAGGAGCTGCTGGCCCAGGCCAAGGCGGAGAAGGCCGCTAGTGCCCAGACCCGCGTAAGGAGCAGCCTCGGGCGCCGAGAGCTGGGCAGCCCAGGAGCCCCACAGTGGACAGGACTCTTGGGGTCCTGTCCCACGCCCCAGAGTAGCTGAGAGAAAGTGTTGCTTGTGGGTTATTGTCGAGAAACAGGAGAGGCACCGGGGAGAATGATGAGGACTGAGAGGAGAAGGCAGGAGCGGGTTCTGGGTTTGGGGTGGGCTGAGACGGGGACATAGAACTGGATGAGACCGACAGGAGATGCCAAAGGTGGGCCTGGAGCCCTGGGTTCCCCAGACTTCTGACCAGACTGCCCTTTGGGAAGGCCCCTGCGGGAGGAAAGAGGTACAGACGGGGGGAGGAGGAGGAGAAGACGAGGCCGGGGTCCCAGGCCTCACTCTCGGTGCAGGAGGGCGGAGAGAGCTGGGACGTGTATGACTGCCTCCTGACTCAGGCTGAGATCCAAGGCAACATCAACCACGTCAATGGTGAGAGAAGTGGGCCCAGAGACCTTGGGGTGCTCTCGGGCTGAGCCCTTGTATTGGGCGGTTTGGGGGTGGCTTTTGCTTGGGCCGGCGGCCCTCATGTCTCAGGGAAAGAGAGAAAGATCCATGCCAAGAGCAGCGTGTGTCCTGTTGTGAGGCCTCCGTGCCCAGAGCTGCGCCCCATCGGGGGTGCTTGTGTTTGGATGGAGATCCATGGGGAGGGCCGAGGCGAGGGCAGGCCTTCCGGCTCTGGGTCAGGCTCCCTCCCAAGAAGGAGGTGAGAGGAATGGATTGGGGGGGCAGGAGGGGCTGCTGGAAGCCTGGGGACAGAGGGGGCCTCCACCTGTTTGGGGCGGTGCGGTGGGAAGATCCCGCTGAGGGTTTGGGGCTGGGGCAGGGTTGGGGGGCTCCAGGGCGGCGGGAAGAATAGGGCTGGGCTTTCACATGTTGTCCGCTGTGTCGTCTTGGTCTTTTGCAGTCCATGAGGCTCTAGAAGCTGTTGATGATGCCCTAGAGAGACAGAGCCCTGAGGCCTTGCTGGAGGCCCTTCTGGACCCAGCGCTGGCCCTGCGAGGGCTCAGGAGAGACTTTGCTGGCTGGTACTTGGAACAGCTGAGCTCAGACAGAGAACAGAAAGCACAGGTCAGGCCCACCGCCTGCTGTTGGCTGCGGGGTACGGGGCGGGTGTCTTCCTTAGGCCCCGCCCCTGTCACCTGCTGGTGTTCAGGCAGGGCCAAGTATGTGTGCAAATGATTACATCACCTCAAAGCCTACGGGCCTAAACTGACTGGGGGGACCCAGAGGCAGCCGACGGGCAGTGATAGGCTCCCCTGTTGCTGAGGGGGACCTCAGCTTGGCGATGTCGTCTCCACGGCTGCTGGCGCTCTGCCTAGCGTCTGGGTGGGTCTGTCGGTGTGTCTGTCGGTGCCTGCTGGGCACGAGGAGGCAGAGGCTCGCGGCAGGGGAGTCGGGCCCTGCGGGGAGCCGGGGCTGGCGGCATCTGCGAAAGTTCATGCCCGGGGCTCCCCTCTGCTTCGCCCTTTCCCCTCCCCAGGAGCTGGGCCTACTGGAGCTTCTGGAAAAGGAGGAGGTCCAGGCTGGCGTGGCTGCAGCCAACATGAAGGGTGACCAGGAGCAAGCCAGTAAGTCGCCTCCGGCCAGGGCCTTCCTGGCTTCTGTGTAGGGCCACGCAGACCGGTGCTGGTGGGGCCTCTCCCCATCCCCGCCCGTCGGGGCTGCCCGGAGGCACGCGACAGCTAGGCTCCTGAAGGCCTTAGGGGTCCTGATGGCCCATGCTGTGGGGCGGGGTCCAGGCCGGGCAGCCCTCTGCAGGGCACTCCCCTGCGTGGGGCCACTTTCAACCTGCTTGAGGCTTTGGCTTCTTTGTAGTGATTTCCCAGGTCAGAGAGAAACTCATGATCGCACTCAGTTCCGCTTAACCCTGCGTACGAATATAATTGTTTATTAGAGGGGCGTGTTGGTGACCATATCTCTCCCGGGGGTCCGCCGGCCCACCGCAGGAGCGAGAGCAGGCAGGGCACGGGCCTGAGCTGCAGCCCGAGGCCACCAGGCCTGTCACAGCTGCGGGCACCACCCGCTGGCCTGGCCGCTCGCAGTCACTCGCTCGTCCGCTGCCGATGTGCGGGCCAGCCGCTCACGTCTTTGCTGGACGCCGCAGGCCTTCCTGGGCTCCGCCACGTGCGCGACGGCCTAGCCCTCAGTCCCACGCGCTCGGCGGGGAGATGAGGCCTGCGGTTCTCCCTCCCTTCTCATCCGCCCAGTCCAGCTACCCAGACGGCCTGCTCTTCCCAGGCAGCCCAGCCTGTCCCACCGCCGGGCCTCTGGTTGTCCGGGTTTCGTTTCTGCGCACTGTCACCCACAGAGGGCGGGCGACAGCGTCCAGCACGGCCTCCTCTGCTTCGTGCTCCCTGACGGCCGGGGCCCTGGGGGACGGAAGGCGGTGCTGACACGGGGCAGCTGGTCTTCATATCCTCATTTCTCGCTACAGACCCGCCTCCTTGATGCCAGGGCCTAGACCTGCCTGGCATTTTCCAAATCCTGCTGTTCGAGACCCCACTGATGCCCCCCAACCCCTTCAAGCTTACTGCAGCCCTTTGCGGCCCGAACGGGTCCATTTGGGGGCTGGTTGTCTGTCCCCTGTGCTGTCGGCTTGATTTGGCCCCCAGAGCCCCTTGTCTGGCCTCCTGCCAGTCCCGCCTCCGCCTCCCCCGCCGCCCTCACGGAGGCGGCCCCTCCCTTACCTGCCACGGTGCCCCGTCTCTGGACCGGACAAGTGGCTTCTTCTGACTCCACGCACTTCTTCCTCCGAAACGCTTAGATGCTTATTTTGAACAGAGCAGAAGGCAGAACAATTGTGCTTTTTTTTTTTTTAAAGGCTTATTTGAGCGAGTGTGTGTGTGCCCTTGTGTGTAATGGGGGAGGGGCAGCAGGAGAGAATCCCAAGCAGCCGCCCCACTGAGCACCGACCCGGGGCTGCATCTCAGGACCCTGAGATTGTGACCTGAGCCAAACCCCAGAGTCAGACGCTCCGGTGGCCACAGCACCCAGGCGCCCTGAGGCAGAACTTTGAAGAGTAGTTGCCCAGCTGTTCTGCCTCTGAGACCCCAGCAGGAGCCAGTTAGCTGGGAGAGGGGGCCGGGCCCTGGGTGCCCAGACTGTGCAGCCCTCCCCCTCCTCCCCTGCAGTGCTCCAGGCCGTGCGCAGGATCAACAGAGCCATCCAGCGGGGAGTGGCGGCTGCCACTGTGGAGGAGCTGATGTGCCCGGAAGCCCGGCTGCCTCCCGTGTGCCCCGGCGCCCCGGCCATGTACCAGCAGGAGCTAAGGGCGCTCCAGCAGCAGCGGGGCGGGGTGAGCCCCAGACCACACCCCCAGCGGAGCACCTTTGGTGGGCTCCGGGAGGGAGGTGGGCCGCCGTCCCTGAGTGTTGAGCTGATCCTAGGCGCTAGGACCCCTGAGCCGACCCTGCTCTACACACATGCAATACGAGAACCCCACCGGGTAAGGTTTCCATTTTAGAGATGAGGAGAGTGAGACGCAGAGGCTGACACGGCTCCCACCACAGCTGCAGCCGGCCGTGCAGGAGTGAGCGCAAATGCGTGGAAGCCCCTGTGGCTCACCCCTCTGTCTGGCAGCCCCCACCCCTGTGCAAACAGCTCCTCCCACAGCAGGGTGGTCTTCTGCAGGGACTCCCCGGTCCCAGGGGGAGCTGGAATGCACCCGAGGTCCAGACAGTCCCAGGCAGGGAGAAGGGGATGATGTCGGGGTGGAGGACTTCAGACTAGGAAACAGAGGGAGCAGCACTGGGAGTAAGTCTGGAAAGGCTTCCTGGAAGAAAAGAGCCCAGTGCAGAGTCAGACCTGTGACACGAAGTTCAGAGCATGACCCTGGTCGTGGCCGCTTTGGCGGCTGCAGTAGGAGGTGTGCGGGAGGTAAAGAAAGCCCTGGGCCCCGGGTCATGGACACCAGAGTGGGAGGTAACTTCCAACTCTGTGCCTCCTTGCCATGGGCCCTCGGGCAAGTGAGCTCCTTGTCTGCCCCTGAGTTCATATAACGACACGGAAGCAGTAGTGTGTTTAGTACATGGGATTGTCACGAGGCTTAGAGTCGCCGCACACGTCAGCCGTGAGCCTGGCCTGTGACCTCCGCAGCTGAGATTCTCCTTGGCGGGAGTCTGCCCTGTGGGGAGACCGCATGGTGCCCCAGACATGGGGATCAGCACACACCGGGGTTTGGAAAGGAGGAGAAGCCGGGGCCACTGAGTGGGACTGGGGCCTCTTTGTCCCCCTCTATCCCCTGGAGCCTTGCGAGCTTCCTGGTGCTTGCTGGGAACCACCAGATAGCCCGTGGGCTCATGGTTGAGCGTGGGCCCTGGAACCCGGGGGCTGGGTTTAGCTTCCGTGACTATGGGCTCTTCTGTGAAAGGGGGATGTTAACGGCACCTCCCTCCCTGGCCTGTTGGAAGGCGCTTACCCACTGAGTCTGCAGAGAGCACCCTCTGCTGTCATGTTCAGTTAGTCAGCAAATGAATGAGGCCGCTGGGACTTGGGTCAGAGACTGGGGTGCAGGGATGCCTCGAGGGCGGGCTGGCCGTGGCCCCAAGCCTTCACCAGTCCCGTGGGACTCGGCACTCCCCTGTTACAGGAGCTCGGCCACGAGGAGCTCTTCGTGGCGGTGGAGATGCTGTCAGCTGTGGTCCTGATCAACCAGGCCCTGGAGGCCGGGGACGTCAGTGGCTTCTGGAGCAGTCTGGTGAACCCCGCCAGCGGCCTGGCCGAGGTGGAAGGAGAGAACGCTCAGCGGTGAGAGAGGTTGAACCCTGTGGCCGGGTGCAGGGGTGGAGGCGAGCCTCAGCTCTGCTGGAGATCCGCCTTCGGCGCTGCCCTGCTCTCGCCCGGCCCCTCCCTGGGTCTGTTTGGGCTCCTCAGCCCCTGCTGTCCTGGGAGTGGGGCTCAGCCCTCCCTGCTTCCAGCATGTTCTGTGCTTCCAAGCCAAGGTACTGGAAGAGCAAAGAACAGAACCAAATTCCTGCTCTCATCCACCCAACATGGCGGGACGAAAGGGAGGAGGAGCCATGGCCAGACCCAGACTGGCCGAGGGAGGGGGTGACTGGTGGGGACATGTGGGGGTTACGGGAGGCCCTGTTGTCAAGGGGACTTTGAGAGGGCCCTCAGGGCCTCTGACTGTGTTTGTCATTGCACAGGTCCAGGGCTGGACGTGTGCTTGGCACGGCAGGGTAGCGTGAGGAGAGAGAGCGGCGACTAGGGCAGGGATGTAGAGGCCACACTGTGGCCTTGACTTGCCCTCTCAGCGGGAAGGAAGCCATGGTGGGGGTGGGGGGTTGCCTGGAGGGGGCGGTCTGAGCTCCGTTTGCCGGGCTCGGCTTGGCTGCTGGGCTGAGGACGGGCTCCCGGGCTGGGCGCAACAAGCAGACAGCCTCCAGCGTGGGTGTGGGGACACCTGTTCGAGGGCGGTGACCGTGGAAGTGGCGAGGGGAGACTGGTTGGGAATCTGTTCTTGAAGGGGATGTGACGGGATCGGGTTGTGTGTGGATGTGGGCTGTGAGACAGCGTGTGGTCGGATGGGGCGCCACGATCTGTCCTCAGAGGCTGGAGCGCATGTCGGCCGAAGTGGGCAGGACTGCGTGGCACAGGCTGATCGGCTCCGGCTGGGTTTTGGGAGCTCACCAGGCGTCCCCGGGCTGCAGGTGGACTCCGGGGAGTCACTTAGGCTCTGGCGTCTCAAGCCAGGAGCTCAGGATAGGGGTGTGGAGCCCCAGCGGTGGGAGGCTCAGGCGTGTGGGCGTCCCGGAGGAGGCAGCACAGGGGCATTGAAAGCGCGACCCGCAAGGTGGGAAGGGAGTCCGGAGCCTGCGAGGGAGGCCGAACAGTGCCCGGAAGTGCCCTCACCCCTGGGTGACACTGCCCCTGCGGCTCTCCCCTCCCGTTCCTGCTGCCAGTTACTTTGATGGTCTGGCGGAGCTGCGCCGGGCGCTGGCCGGGGCCATCCTGAGCTGGAACGACCTGCAGGCCGCCGTGCACCGGGTCAACGCCCAGGTCCAGGAAGAGACTGACCGTGAGTGGAATCCCGGGCAGGTGGAGGCAGCTCGGCGCGGGCAGCTTACCGTCCCTTCCCGTGAGTCTGAGTCCTCGGCCCACCTAGATCTCTCCTTCCTAGAGGTCCTTGCCGTCAGCCTCATCAACGAGGCTCTGGACCAGGGCAGCCCCGAGAAGACCCTGTCTGCCCTCCTGCTTCCCTCGGCTGGCCTGGACGACATCAGCCTTCCTGTCGCCCCTCGGTACCATCTCCTTCTCGTGGCAGCCAAGAGGCAAAAGGCCCAGGTGAGGTCTGAGTGGGCTGAGTCCGTCCCCAGAGCAGGAAGGGCCTCTCCTGTGGGTAGAGCTGTGCCGGGGCTGCACCTTGGGAGAGCCCCGTGTGATGAGACAGTCCCTTCTGAGGGGGAGGCCGGGAGGGACCATGCAGGAAGGTGGCCGTCGGGCTGGGCCCTGGCCCAAGCTCCAGCTGCCAGCACGCAGAGTGGTGGGGCCTGCTGAGTGGCAAGGGCCCAGGCCTGGGGGCCGGACAGCCAGGCTGCACTCCCTGGTCTAAGCACTGCTTGTTGGTCTGTAAAACACCACGTGCCCTGGTGCTCCCTCCGTACCTTCTGGAATGGGGGAAGCACTCGGTCGGGGAGTAGGGCAGGGTTCTGAGTATGTGGCACCCTGAGCCACGGCCGTCTGGAGCGGCTGAGGGCTGGGCCTGCCCGCTGGACTGCCTGGGTCTGCTTCCAGGCGACCGGCCCTGTGCGTCCGTTCCACGCCTGTGAGCGTTTGGTGATAGGAACCTTCTGGCCGGGTTAGGGCTTTCGGTGAGCAGCGTGGTGAGCGCTGGCTAAGGACGGGTCGGGATCTTCTCTGCCGAACGTTGTTTGTGTGCCTGACAAATATAGGTTCCGAAGAAAGTCCTTTACTTTTTTTTTATTATTTTATTTATTTATTTGAGAGAGAGAGCGCACATGAGCAGGGGCAGAGGGAAGCAGGCTTCCCACTAAGCAGGGAGTCTGACCTGTGGCTCGATCCCAGGACCTCAGGATCACGACTTGAGCCAAAGGCAGATGCTCAGCTGACTGAGCCCCCCGGGCGCCCCGAGAAAGCGGTTTAGAAGGCTGCCTGGGACATAGTGCTCGCGCACATGTCTGTTTAGAAAGTTCTCTCTGCTAACAAGGGGCACTGGGAGGGAGCAGAGTGTGGGATTGGGGTTGGGTGAGGCACGGGGGTTGGGGGGTTCCAGCCTGACCATGTGGCTGAGTGAGCCTGTGGTCACACGAACCTGGCCACTGCCTGGTGCAGTAGCACCAGGTTCCGGTTTCAGAGCCAGAACGGACAGGATGGGCTGGTGGTCAGGGTCAGGGTCAGGGTTGGCCTGAGAAGGTGCGCATGCGGCACAGGTGAATGGGGAGCAGGACCAGGAAGGGGGCGCCTCCGGTGTGGGCTTTCCCTGGCCGCGCTGGGCACCAGGGTGGGTACGTGTGCTGCTCAGAGGCCGGAGGACACTGAGGGCTCCCGCGGGTTCTGGGAGTGCTGCGGTCTGGCTGAAGCTTGGCTGGCCCGAACGCAGGCCGGGAAAGAGCCTTCCGAGCCTGGCAGCTGCCCCAGGAAGCACCAGGGGCGCACCGGCTTGTGGTGGGTGGAAGAGGTGGGCACCACTGTTCCTGGGGCTCCTGCCGCCTTGCCTGGATTTTGGTCCTCATGCAGCTGAGCCTAGGCCCTGGGGTGGCTGGCCCGGGCACTCACCTTTCCCATCTCAACTTCCCAGGCGACGGGGGACCCTGGAGCACTGCTGTGGCTGGAAGAGATCCGCCAGGAGGTGGTGAGAGCCAACCAGGACACAGACGCTGCGCAAAGAAGTATGTGGGCCACGCACCCCGCAAGAGCCCAAGGGAGGGCTGGGGGTGGGATGTGGGCTCCCCACTCACCCCCTCTTCCTTTCAACCTCTCTGGGGATGCGGGCCAGAACTAGAGCAGGGCCTCGGCGCTTGGCCTGGATGATAGGTCTCCTACCCGCAGCTGGGCAGGAAATTCTTGGGGGCTGAGAACCCACAGTCCTCACGTGCCTCCGTCCACGCCTTCCAGGGGTCCTCGCCCCCGAAGCGTGAGCACGGGAAGTCGGGTGGTGGCCAGAGGTCCATCCTGTCCTGTGCTGGTAACTGGAGTTTGGGGTCCCACTGTCGGCTCTGGTTGTGGGGGGAAGGGAGAACTGGCTTTGAGGACAAGTAGGCAGTATCGGAAAGACACTGGCATTCTGCTGTGGGAGCTGGTAGTGTCTGGTGTCCCTCTGTCCATCTGTCTGTCTGAATGACACAAAGGCAGGTGTTGCACTTCTTGCATTTTATTCTCTTCTGAAGAAACTGTCTTGAGGTTCTCTGCCTGCATTCTGCCTTTGAGCTTCTGTACAAGGGACTTGGAGCTGTTTTACCCAGCCCCAGCCGGCCCCGTGCTGCCTTCTCCAGGAAGCCTTCCTTGATTGCTCCCTTTTCCTTCAGGCGCAGCTGCATGCTGCTGTGCTCATGTGTGTCTGCCTCCATGCTTGGGTGTTCCCTGTTCCTTTCATCAGATGGGGCTTGTGTCCCCCTTTTCTGAATGGACAGGACAAGGGCCCCATGGGAGGGACTTGGGGAAGGGGTAAGGATGAACCACTCACTCCCGATATCCCTATCAGTGGCTCTTGGTGTGGCCGCCATCAATCAGGCCATCAGGGAAGGCAAAGCAGGCCAGACGGAGCGGGTGTTAAGGAACCCTGCCGTGGCCCTCCGAGGGGTGGTTCCCAACTGTGCTGACAGCTACCAACGGGTCTTGGAAGGAGCCATGGCAAAGAAGAGGCACCCAGGTAACGGCCGCAGCCTCAGCCTCGGTGTCTCCGCCTGCCCCAATGTCCCCTCCGAGCCTCCTCTCCTTCCTCACTTGGCTTCCGCTCAGGAGGCCCGGCGCTCTGGGTCCGACACGGCATGAAGGACGGCTCCGCCTACTACTTCCACCTGCAGACCTTGCAGGGGACCTGGGAGCCACCCTCCGGCTGCGGCCTGAACACGTCCCACTTGACTCGGGAGGAGATCCAGGTTGGCAGAGGCCCTGCGGGGCAGGGAGGTGGGGAGGGGGCTCCCCCTGCCGGGTGCCACAGGCTCTCTCTCCCGCCTGCAGTCGGCCGTCACCAAGGTCACCACGGCGCATGACCGCCAGCAGCTCTGGAAGGCCAACATCGGCTTCGTCGTCCAGCTCCAGGCCCGCCTGCGGGGCTTCCTGGTCCGGCAGGAGTTTGCAGAGCACTCACGCTTTCTGAGGACCTGGCTGCCGGCCGTCATCAAGATCCAGGTGGCCGGCTGTGGCCTCTGACATTGTCAGGGGTGGGCTTATCTGAGCCTCGGGTTTCCTCCTGTTTGCTTTCTGCTGAGTAGAGGGGGATGATCTTCTGGCCTCAGAGCGGGAGGGGTTACGAGCGTGCCGTCAGGAGCCTGGACCGCCTGGGTTTGAATCCCAGCCCCACCACAGGTCACCGGGTGACCTGCGCAGGCGCTCGCAGTCGCCCAGTTTTCCCAGCTGCAGAATGGGCACGTGGACGCCGGAGCACCTCCGTGTAGGGTTGTCGCGAAAGCATCCGAGTGGCGCCTGGCTGGCAGGCACTTACTGTTGTTACCGTCGCTGTCCCCAGGGCAAGAGCGGCTTTGTCGCCTCTGTGTGGGGTGGTGGGAGTGAGATTTAGCAAGCTGTCGAGGTCCAAGACACGAGGGCTTCCCGAGGTGGGTAAGCAGGACCCGGTGGGCCAGCCCCGAGGGGAAGAGCTATGTCTTTTCTCTCCAGCTAGCCCTGTGGCTGGTCCAGTGCGGCCGCGGGGCAGGACCTACACATAACGGGAAAGGTGGGCCTCAGGCCTGCCTGTTTTACAAGCCAGGAAAGATGGAGCTGAGCAGAGACCTCAGGTAGGTGGGACCCGCAGGTCGCGTGAAGCTGTGCACAGTGCAAAGGTCCTTTATTGACGACGTCTGCACGTCCGGTCCGCAAGGATGCCCCCTGTGCCTGGCCAGGCAGGAGACGGATGGGACAGATGAGTGACCACAGCTCCTCTGGCAGGACCTAGAGCACAGCTGACGTTAGGTGCCGTGGCGGTGGGGACACAAGGGCAGCCCTGAGAGCCTGGGGGTGGGAGGCCATCGAAGACAAACCAGCACGTGTGGGGTAGCATACTGGGAGCTCAGCCTTTAGAGTCAGAGGCTGGACTTGGCCTCCTGGTCCTCCCGCTTGTGGGTCATACAACCTTGGGCACCTCTCTTAAGGCCACTCTAACACCATTTCTTGTTCACAGCGAGGTCCCCACCTCGCATGTCGATTGTGCGGGCTCAGTGGGAAAGTACCCAGGGCACTGAGCTCGGGGAGCCTCGTGGGCAGCGGCCATTGGAAGGTGTTGAATTGCAGGGCGCCGGTCTCAGGACTCCGTACAGAACCTTAGTAATTAGCATCTAGCGGTCTGATCGCAGGGATTCCTCCCTCCTGAGCCTGGACTGGAATTTCACACGCATACTACAGAGCCAAAAAGCCACAGTGACAGCGGGAGAGGGGATGGGGTCAGAGGGCATGTGTGCCACCAACACTGGGGCTGTGCGGTCTCTGGCCTGGGTCCTGGGAGACGGGGAAAGGGAGCGGTGGCCCGGAGCCTCAGGCCACCTGTGCTCCAGCCGTAGGGAAGGAAGAGGCAGAAGTGGGGCTCCCGGAAGCTCCGAGCCTGGCCGAGCCACAGGTCAGGTCCTGACTTCTGACCGGTCCAGACTGGGAGGCCTCTTGTCTAAGGGGGAAGAGCCGAGAGGGGTCCCCTTAGAGGGACAGCTGGACCTGGAGAGGGAGAAGAACCGGTGCTGAGCAAAGGCTCGGGCGGGGGTGGGGGGCGCTTCCTGGCCTCCAAGCTCCAGGCGGGACAGCCACCCTCTCGGGCTGCACCTGCCCTTTTGCATCCTGTCCCAGCAGAGCGATGGGGTCAGCCATGGGGGTGGACTGCGGCCAGCCGAGCTGTATGTAGGAAGGGAGGGGAGGACAGCTGGACGGAAGGGGACACTCAAACACACCAGCCCACGGCGTATGGTCTGGGACCTGAGCGCCCCAGAGAAGTTTTCCCGTGGGCTCTGACAGGAAGGATGTCAGGACTCAGGGGTCAGGGGCCTAAACAGGGGTTCAGGGCAGAGTGTCCCCTGCACGTCCAGAAGAAAGTGTGATGTTTGAAGTGGCTGGAGTCACTGAGGAAGGAAGGAACCGGCCGAGAGTCATATGGGTCTGGTGGTCAAGGGCTTTGGGAGGCTCAGGCAGGCCTCATACAAGCTGCGGGGAAAAGGGAGCGGCCCCAAAGTGGGAAGGGAGCCGCCAGGTTTGTGCTTTAGGGACTGGAGAGCGTATGGTTCCCAGAGGAGCTGGTCATCCCAGCCCCTCCCAGCAGACCCGCCAGGGCCGGTTCGCCGCCGGACAGCGAGTCACCGGGCGGGCAGGCTGGCGGAGGCGGAGTGGGGTGCTGGCGTGGTGCATGGAGTGAACAAGGGTCGTGTGTGGCCCACATGGCATCGGCAGGGGTGGGGTGCCTCACTCTGCACCTGCGCACGTCTCTGTCCCTGCTCCATGTGTCCCCCCAGCCCGCGTGTGCGTGCCTTGGGGGACACGGTGCGTGCTCTAGTGAAGGTGCCATAGACTTTGTTCACCTCTTGTGTCTTCCAATTGGGTTTCTGTGACAGTGCGTGGGGTCGATCGTGTGTGTCTGTGTTTGCGCGTGCACGCGTGTGTGTGTTTGCACATGCACACATGTGTGCTGGGACCCGGGGGGGTGGCAGAGCGTGAGCTGGGCTGGCGCAGATGTCTGGTTGTCCCGTGAGGATAGCCGTTCTCAGAACAGGGCTGGTTCCCCTCCGCCTCCCCCAGCCCCCGCTCCCTGGGACGGCCTGTCGCCGCAGGGACCAGCGGGGGCGCCCCCTCTCCTGCCCTGACACAGGCTCACTGGCGTGGGTGCAGGCAGCGGAGGGCGTACCTGGAGCGGCTGCGGTATTTCAGAGCCCACTCGGATGCTGTCATCAAGGTAGCTGCTGCTGGGCTGGGCAGGGGGTTCTCATGTCCCGAAGGGCCCTCAGATGATCGGCGGTCGCCTCGCGGCCTCTGGAGATGGCGGGGACTGGCCCGGGTCCTGGTCTGGGTCCGAGGGCCGGCCCTGAGCCTGCGGCTCTGAGGTGGCGTGTGTCCTCAGATCCAGGCCTGGGCCCGGGCATGGGCAGCTCGGAGGCGATACCAGAGGCGTCTGGGATTCTTCCAGAAGAACGTGAGTGTTCTCTGCTGCCCCGTCCCCATGCCCAGCCTTCAGCCAGGGGACGTGGGCCAGGGCAGCCGGCAAGCCTTTCTCCACCTGCGCTCACGGTAGGTTGAGTCCATCGTGAAGATCCAGGCGTTTTTCCGCGCGCGGAAGGCCCGCGATGACTACAGGACGTTAGGTACGTGACCTGGTCCCCTCTGATCGCTGATCTGCCCATGCTCCCTCTGTCTGCGAGCGCCTGGCTTCCAGTAGTCAGCAGGACAGAGGTCACGCCTCCCAACGGCTTACACGCTGGGCTTTGGAGAAGTTTGTCCTTCTTCAGCCCCCTCCTCACCAACAGCTGATGCCCCAACCTTGGGCATTTCTCCGGATCCAGGGTGCGTGGGGAGTGAGGACGTGGGCTCTGCCTTTGGGAATCCCCCAGTTTGGAGGGAGAGACGAATTCCCCCAGAGCCGGGCAGGTCTAGATATCCCTCTCAGGGTCGCATAGCAGGGAAAGAGAAGTTACGAGAAGTCTGTGCAGGAATCCTCGAACAGGGCCTGTCGCCAAAGCCCCCGCCCGCCCCAGAGATGGCCTGGTCATGGGGAAGTCTCCCCTTGGCAGGTGCTTGCTGTCCCAGGCTTCAGATGTCTTCCTGTGGCTGCCACCAAAGCAAACAAGGGAAAGGTCTCCTGCTAGACTTCCCACCTTTGTGCACTTTGCCTTCTTGTGTGGCCCGGAGATCCCCCAGCCCCGGCCCTCCATGACCCTGCATGCACGCAGCCTTGTGCCGTGCTGGGACCTTGTCCTGCCCCCTTGGTCCCCCGAGAGGGGTGCGCATCTAAACCCTCTCACAGATGCTTCTGGGCTGCTCTTGGCTCCTGTTCTTAAAGCACAGAAGCCCAGCCATGGAGGCCCTCCTCTTTGTGAGGTGATCCCAGTGTCCACTTCTAACTCAGCCTCTGGCCCTTGGGTTCTGGGAGGTGTGGGCCCTTTCCCTTCCAGGCCTGAGGCGACACTTCTGGCCTTCAGGTAGAATGCACGACACTGGCCACATGTCCTTTACTGCCCGAGCCTGTCATGCCCGCGGGGTGCCGCCGGTCCCTCCCTGACTGTGGATGCTTGGCCAATCTGAGGAGCAAATGGGACTAGGAGCTCATCCGAGGGGGCTAGGCCTCCAACCTGGGGGCAGGAAGTCCTTGGCGTGGGCCCCAGACTCCTGTTCCATCGTACCTGGCTATCGCCCAGGGAGCTTGGGGACAGGACTGGTTTGAGGCAGCCTTCTACCCCCTGCCACAAGCAGAACCAGTTAGAAAAGGGCTGGGCGTTGGGGACCTGTTGGCCTCAAGCAGGATGGGGACCAAGGGCTGGTAATAGGCAGGGGGCTGGCGAGGACATCTCTGGGAGGGCACGGCTGGTCCTGATGCCTCTTCCCTTCCTGCCAGTGCACGCAGCCCATCCACCTCTCCGCGTGGTGTGCAGATTTGCCCACCTCCTGAATCAAAGCCAGGAGGACTTCCTGGCAGAGGCTGAGCTGCTGAAGCTCCAGGAGGAAGTGGTTCGGAAGATCCGGTCCAGTCAGCAGCTCCAGCAGGACCTCAACCTCATGGACATCAAGATCGGCCTGCTGGTCAAGAACCGGGTCACCCTGCAGGTGAGGGGCCGGCCCACTGCCGCCGGCGTGTCCTGCGTCCCCTGCCTTTCTGGGGCGGGTGGGGGCAGGAGACCGGGCAGACGGAGCCCTGGTGTGAAAGGAGAGCGCTTTCTGCTCTTCCTGCTGCTTCCTCGTGCTGGGTGCGGGCTGCCTGCACCCTCTCCAAGTCTGCCTCCTCCTCGGGGAGCGGGGAGAGTCCCGTGCACCTTGCCCGGGCAGCGTGGAGCGACGCACGAGCCTGCAGACGTGCGGCGACGAGGAGGAGCACGTGCTCCGGCTCGGAAGACAGAGCAGCAAAAACCCACAGACGTGACGTGGGGGCCTGGCAGCCCCGATCTCTGCAGGGGACCCCCGTGAGGCTGGAGGAGCCAGCTGAGGTGACGGGGTGGCCAAGGCCAGCGGCCCTCCGCACCCCAGCACCGTTTCTGTCTCGCTCCTGCCATGAATGGCTCCAGCGGCAGAAAGGCCCGGCTCTTCGAGGGGCCGCTGCTGACCGTCTGCTCTGCCCTGTGCGGGCCCGCCCCGCCCCGCCCCTGCAGGAGCTGGTCTCCCACTGCAAGAAGCTGACCAAGAAGAACAAGGAGCAGCTGGCGGGCCTGATGGTGCTGGACAGACAGAGGGGGCTAAAGTCACTGAGCAAAGAGAAGAGGCGGAAGCTGGAAGCTTACCAGCACCTCCTCTACCTGCTGCAGGTGCGCAGCGGCCCCGAGGGCCTGGGGCCTCGAGGCCTTCCTGTGCGCGGGGTCCTCTTCCCAGCCCTAGTGCCGTGGCCCCAGAGACGGGGACCGCCGCCTCCCATTCATCCTCCGAGGAAGCTCCGGCAGGAGAGCCTTGCCTGATTCTCTCGCTAGTCCTACCGCGGCCTCGTCAGCCACCCTCCGCCCTCTTGCTTGCAGACTCAGCCCATCTACCTGGCCAGGCTCATCTTCCACGTGCCGCAGAGCAAAACCACCAAGTTCATGGAGTCCGTGGTCTTCAGCCTCTACAACTACGCCTCCAGCCGCCGCGAGGCCTACCTGCTGCTGCAGCTGTTCAAGACGGCGCTGCAGGAGGAGATCAGGTAGGGTCCCACCTGCGGAGGACGGCGAGGGGAAGGGCTGAGACGCCGCTCTGGGCTGCGGGCCCCTCTGCCCGGTGAGGACCCTCAGAGGCTGAAGGGTAGGGATGGAATCGGGGACTCTCTTCTCAGCTCCTAGGAGCGCCCAGAGGCCGTCTCCCAGGACAGTGTGGAGGAGGGAGCACGGGTGGAGGGTCAGCCTGCGGGCTGAGCCCCAGCTGCAGGGACCTGCCTTCGGGGCACACAGCCCGCAGTAGGCTTCCTAGAGAGGAAACGCAGCTGTTTGTCCTACGCGGAGACAGGGGTCCAGCTTCCATGACCTCTCGGACCGCAGGTCAAAGGTAGAGCGGCCCCAGGACATGGTGACTGGCGACCCCACGGTGGTGAGGCTGGTGGTGAGGTTCTACCGGAATGGGCGTGGCCAGAGTGCCCTGCGGGAGATCCTGGGCCGGGTCATCCAGGACGTGCTGGGGGACAAGACGCTGAGCGTCCACACAGACCCCGTTCACCTCTACAAGAGCTGGGTCAACCAAAGCGAGGCCCAGACTGGACAGCGCAGGTGAGCCACAGCCGAGGGGGAGCCCCCTGGGCCCGCGGCCCCGTTGGGTGAGATAAGCAGCCCCCCCGCCCCCGGGAATTAACACGGACCTGGTACGCGGGACCCAGGATGAACACAGGAGTGTGCGAGTGTGCCCGTTGCCATGTCCTGCTCGCAGACGATGCGTCCGACGGGCCAGGAGTCGGGCCTGGACTCCTTATTGATGGGGCATGGCTGGATAGTCACGTTCCCGATGAATAGACCCGTAAGGCAGCGAGAGCTGGGTTGGCCCTGGACACAAGGCCGGTGCTCAGGTGCCCGGTCCCCAGAGAGTGGGGCTGCCAAGGAGCAGCCCGGGCCGGTGGCTTGTCCTGTGGTGCGTGGGCTTGTGGGTCATCTTCCCGTTGTCCCAGCCGTGGAAGACAAGATGCAGGCCCGCCGTGGCCGCCACCTCCCCCGAGGGGGCCTCCACACGCCATGGCGTGTCCATCTGTCCTACGCTCACCCACCCCCCACCGGCCCCTCTTCCTTCTTTACCTTCCTCCCAGGTTGCTCCGTTCCCTCCAACACCTTTCTCTTGTTCTGGCCTGGGCTGCCCTAGTGTGTGCGTGCACGTTTCTGCGTGTGTACACGTGCACGTGTGTGTGCATGTGGGGGGGTCCCGTTGTTAGGTGAAGAGCTGGAGGGGGCGGGCTTCGGGAGGAGAGGCTGCAGGAGGGGCTCTGGCTGACACCTTGGCTCTCTGCCCACAGCCACCTCCCCTACGATGTCACCCCAGAGCAGGCCTTGAGCCACCCCGAGGTCCAGCGGCGGCTGGACATCTCCCTCCGCAGCCTCCTCGCCCTGACGGACAGGTTCCTGGCAGCCATCACGTCATCTGTGGAGCACATTCCGTACGTGCCTCAGCCCCGCCAGGCCCCTGGGAGCCCCATGCCTGAGTCCTGAGCCCTGGGATGGGAGAAGGAAGGGGATTGCGTCTATAGGTGGCCTGTCCGTGACCGGAATCGTGACAACCAAGTCTAGCATGTCTGGGTGTCACCATCCCATCACACACTCCTTCCACAGACGTCATTGCATTAGAGTATCTCAAAAACCCTGAGCGAGAGAGAGGGCAGGAATGCTCGCGTCCGTTTTCCAGAGCGGGGGGCCGGGAGGGCGCAGAGCCGCAGGGAAGGGACTTGTACGAGCTGCTGGTTCACGGTGTCTGGTGGAGGCAGGACCGGAGCCCCTCCTCTGGTCTCTGCTTCCCCTCAGGTCCTGCTTCCAGCCCCCGCTCGGCCCCTCCCAGGGTTCTGCCTCCTCCAAGCCTCCCAGGCTGTCCTGGGACAGGGTGACCAGGGGACATGCTGAAGGGGCCTCTGTGGGGGATGGCAGGCCAAATCCCGGGCTCCGGGGTGTTTCCAGGAGACACTGGAGAGAGGCACAGCCAGGGCCCTCGGGCCGGCCCGAAGCCTGCACACCAGCTTAGTGGGTGCTGAGTGAACCAAAGGGTGGCAGGGAGCTGGCCGTGGAGAGCAGGGGCCGGTGCACCACGCCTGGGCAAGTAAGGAGGCAGCAATCTTGTGTGTCGGGCTCCGGTGGGGACGGTGGGAACACAGTGCATGCCCACTTTGTCCCCAGGTATGGGATGCGGTATGTGGCCAAGGTCCTGAAGACCACTCTGACAGAGCGGTTTCCTGCCGCCTCGGACGACGAGGTCTACAAGGCAAGTACCATCTGCCCCCCGAGGCTCCAGCGCTCTCCTTTGTCGTCCTGGGGCTCACAGGCCCCAGGACGGAGATGAAAGAACAGAAAACTCTGCTCTGAAAGTCCCAGCGGGACGACCTCCTGCGCGCCGCCCCCCCACCCCCGCAGGCCTTCTGCTGGCTGGTGCGCGGGCAGCCGCGCCGTGAGCGAGCAGGGCGGGCTGGAGGTCTGGGTTCTGGTCAGGCTCCTGCTCATGTTTCGACCTCGACCGGGTGTTTTGTGCGACATGATGGGGTTGGCCCGGGAGGTCCCCCCAGCCACAAGAGCTGGGTAATAGGACAGGGGCGCCAAGGCAGACCCTGGGGCATCCCTGGGATGGTTTCCTCTGCCTTCAGGTGGTCGGGAACCTCCTGTACTACCGCTTCCTGAACCCAGCTGTTGTGGCCCCCGACGCCTTCGACATCGTGGCCATGGCAGCGGGCGGCGCCCTGGCCCCCTCCCAGCGCCACACGCTCGGGGCCGTGGCTCAGGTCCTGCAGCACGCTGCCGCGGGCAAGGCCTTCTCCGGGGCAAGCCGCCATCTGCGGGCCTTGAATGACTACCTAGAGGACACCCACATCAAGTTCAGGTCTGGGTCCTGACACCCCGTCCCTCCTGTCCCCTCCTCTTCCTCTTGCCTTCTGTCATGCCCCGCCTGCCTCTCTGAAGGCCTTGGGGAGGCGCTACGCGGAGGGGCGGCGTGTAGTTAGCAAGCCGGAGGGTGGATTGTTGGGGGGTCTGCCTGGGGGGCTGGAGGGACAGGGTAGGGGGCCTGTCAGGCACTGCAGGGGGAACAGACAGAGCACGAGGGGGTGCTGTCCGCCCCACCTCACCCCTCCCACACCCTTCTTCTGGAGATAGGAGGTTCGTGTGCCGAGCCTGCCAGGTCCCAGAGCCAGAGGAGCGCTTTGCGATGGACGAGTACTCAGACATGGTGGCCGTGGCCAAGCCCGTGGTGTACATCACCGTTGGGGAGCTGCTCAACATGCACAGGGTGAGGGCCGCGGCCGGGGGTCGCTGGGAGGGTGGGCTGGCCCTCGGAGGAAGGCCCGGCTCAGCCTACATCTTTCGGCGTGCCCCAACCCGCAGCTGCTGCTAGAGCACCAGGACTGGGTCGCCCCCGAGCACTGCGACCCCTTGCATGAGCTCCTGGAGGACCTCGGGGAGCTGCCCACCATCTCCGACCTCATCGGTACGTGCTGTGCTGGGCCAGGGAGGGGGGTGCCAGATGGGGGCCTGGAGGGAGGACACAGGCCAGTGAGTACGCCTGTCTGGAGTTCTGGTTACGTCAGGGCCGTGTGCTGGGAAGCCAGTCTGCACATGCCCCTCCCCCCTCGTCCCCTCCCTTCTTTAGATGGACATGGGGACACGGGCTAATAGGAAGAAAGGGGACAGACGGTGGGGGACCCAGTGCCATCGTGTAAATGGCTTATTAAATTGCGTGAGACAGATGGGGATGGCTGTGGGTGTGTTTGGAGTCTCTAAGGGTTTCTCCTACAGGAGATCCGGAATGAGAGAGAAGTTCTAGGTCAGGGTTGGGGTGGTGACAGATTGAGAGTAGGGAGCTCAAGGCCCCGGGCTCAGGTGTTGGTCCGAGACTGAGCTCTGGCTGGCAGCCCTCCCATGGGTGCTGCTATGGGCAGCGTGGACACGACTCTCCTGGTGCAGGGGTGCCTGGGGGAGGTGGCAGGCCTGGCCGTGGGTCTCATCCCTGCCCCCACCACAGGGGAGGGCGTGGCCGCCGCTGGGAATGAGGACCCAGCCAAGCTGGAGGTGTCCCTGACACTTGCCAACAAGTTTGAAGGGGTGGACACGGACGCCGGCAACACCGGTGCCCAGAGCCTGCTTCTGAGGTGAGGGAGCGCCGGCTGCTGGCTCAGGCCCTCCGCGGTCTTCCACGGGCCCTTGTCCTGGGGCAGCTCTCACTGAGACCTGCCTGACACTGCCCTCCCCAGGCCTCCGTGTCACCCTTGGCCTTGGCTCTGGGCTTTGGCTGGAGGCCGGGGGACACTTGGGGTGTGGGTAGCACATGACACTGGCATGTTGTCGCTTTTCACGTGTGAGCTTCTGATCTGAGGGGCAACCGTGAGGTTGGAGATGGTTTCCCGTCTTTACACGCAGGACAGGTGGCCTGCCGGAAGTGAGGGTGAGGAGAGGGGCCTGGAGCTTCCCATCCCCGCTTCTGTGAGTGGCGCGGGGGCGCCCGGTAGGGCTAGCTGGCCGTCCGGGCAGAAGAGGAGCTGAGGTGCCAACTGCATCCTGTGCCAGGCGGGCGGCCCCTCCCCTCACCCGGCTGCTCAGTGAACCAGTGAGGCGGGCAGTGGCCGAAGGCCTAGCAGGGTGGGGCCCGGCGAGAGCGCTGCCGGAGAGCCAGGAGGGAGGCGGCCGTCAGCAGGAGGGACAGTGGAGCTGGGGAGGGGCTCCCAGAGGACAACGCATGTCCTTCAGCCTCAGGACTCAGCAAGACCATCTGTGGGAGGGAGGGGGCCCACCCGCGGAGTGCAGGGGTGAGGCAGCTCCGTGCTTGCTCACGGAGAGCCTCAGCCCCCCTTGGCGTCTCCTTCCTCGTTTGCCCTCCGGACCTCTCAAGTGTCCCTGGCAGCCACAACACAGGACAGGGTCCCTTCCCTCTCAGCTCCCGGCCAGCCCCACGTCCGAACCTGACCCTGTCCCTCCCCTCTTCCCCCTCCCCTCCTGCAGCACCAAGCAGATGCTGGCGGACATCATGCAGTTCCAGCCTGGGGACTCCCTCGAGGAGATGCTGTCCTTCCCTGGGACAGCAGAGCAGGTGCGTGGCCCTGCTGTTCACGTGATGGGTGTTGCCCGGCCTCCAGCCCCACCCATTCCTCCCCAGGACCCGCCCCAAGCAGACACCAGGGATGGCCTAGAGGGGGTTCGTGAGCATGTGCAGGTCCGCTTGGTCCAGCAGCAGGAAGGACTAAGCCAGGGCTTCCCGGGGAAAAGGTGAGGCCTGCCGGCAGGTAGAGGCTTGTTCCAAAACACGGGACAGAGGACAGGAACACCCGCGAACACCGGGGAGCCATCGCAGTACTGGGAGGTGGCCGCCAGCGCGCGTCCACAACACTTCCTGCTGTGGCGTCCATGTGGGTCCCCCGCAATGACCACAGGCCCGTTTGTGTCTGTGATGCCGCCCGTGGCTGTTCAGTCCCCAGCCACCCGCTCCGCCTACCCCCACTCCCGGAAGCTGGGGTCGGCCAGGGCGGGGGGCCAGAACGGCGGAACCTCCTAGGTCCCTCCAGCTCCTCTGTCCTCCCAGGAAGCGGCGCACAAGCAGCTGATGTGCGAGCGGCAGGCGTGCGAGAGCCAGACCCCGGAGCCCCTGCGGCGGCACCGCTCGCTGAGCGCGCACGCCCTCCTGCCGCTGGCCGACAAGCGGCAGCGCGTCCTGCGGAACCTGCGCCGGCTGGAGAGCCTGGGGCTGGTCAGTGCCCGCGACGGCTACCAGGGTTTGGTGGACGGACTGGCCAAGGTAGTGGCCCAGGACTGGGGTCCGGCTGGGGTGGGTGGGTGCAGGGGCAGGCAAGGTTGGGGCGCTGGGCGGGGCATGGAGTGGGCGGGGCCGGGTGGGTGCTCAGGTGCCCAGAAGGCCGGCCTCTCCCCAGCAAGTGCCGCCCCAGACTGTCACCAGCCAGGGGAGGCCAACACATCCCTGCAGGGTCCTTTCTGGCGGGAAGGTCTCAGGGAGAGGACCATTCCTGCAGCTCTCTTTCACGACAAACCGGAGCCTTGGAACAGTTACTCCTCCGCGAGGGTCCCTTGAGGGTTCGGGCTGGAGTCCTTGAGCCGGCCCTCCTCCTGGGAGAAGCAGCTGTAAAATCGGCCTCTCCATGCTTCTCCTGAAGACGCTCTCCGGGAGTGCCCTGGGCTCACTCAGGGCCTGAGCTCTCCTGTCCCTCAACCCCAGGACATCCGCAACCAGCGCCGGCACCGGCAGCGGCGGAAGGCAGAGCTGGGGAAGCTGCAGGCCACGCTCCAGGGCCTGGACGCCAAGACCACCTTCTACGAGGAGCAAGGCGACTACTACAGCCAGTACATCCGGGCCTGCCTGGACCAGCTGGCCCCCCGCTGCACGTAGGCACCACCCGTGGGCCCAAGCCCACCTGTGACCTCTCACCCCCATGTGACCTTTGCCCCATTCCACCAGCTCTGAATCTTTTTTTTCTTTTTTAAGATTTTAAAAATTATTTATTTATCTGAGAGAGAACGAGCATTAGCGGGAGGGAGAGGGAGCCCAATGTGGGACTCGATCCCAGGACCCTGGGATTATGACTTGAGCCGAAGGCAGACTCATCACCGACTGAGCCCCCCAGGTGCTCCCCTTCCACCAGCTTTGAAAGAACCACCTTCCCGGGACAGCAGGGTCCCTGTCTCGTGTGGGCTTGGGCTTAAGTGCAGGTCCTTGTCCTCCACCAGGGAGGGTCCTCGGGCTCTGCTGTCCTTCCCGAAGACCCAGAGGACGAGTGTCTCTGGTGCGTAGATGAATTATCTGTGGCCTTTTTGAATCAGGAGTTCTGGGAAAGGGAAGAAGCGGCCGGCCCTCCGTTACACCGCCGCCCAGCTGCTGGAGAAGGGTGTCCTGGTGGAAATCGAGGATCTTCCCACCTCTCAGTATGTGTCCGACCCCAGCTGTGCTCCAGCGCGGGGAGGGAGGAGGGGCTCTGAGGGCAGTGGGGAGACCCGACACCTCCAGGCAGGAAACTAAGGCCAGCGGATGTGGCCCGGCACAGTCTGAGACAGCCCACGGCCCGGGATGCTGGGGGCACTTCCCAGAGGAGCATCTGACAGGGCCAGGCAGATGGCAGGTCCGTGGCGTGGTGAGCAGGGAACAGAGCGGGAGCACCGCAGGGAGGTCTGGGCTCAGGGACACACAGTGCTGTCTGGCCGCGCCTCGGTGGGAAGAAGACCAGGGTTGGGGTCCTGGAAAGAGGCACCGAGTCCCTGTGTCAAATCCTGTCCCCGACAGCTTCCGAAACGTGATCTTTGACATCACCCCTGGAGACGAGGCGGGCAAGTTCGAAGTGAACGCCAAGTTCCTGGGCGTGGACATGGAGCGGTTTCAGCTTCACTACCAGGTGAGGGCTGCCTGCTGGGCTTGGGGGTTGGCCCACAGCCCTTCCCTAGGCCTCAGAGGACATCAGCCAGTCAGTACCCTTTGTTCCTGAGCGGAAGGCTGAGGGGCTCGCAGCCCAAGCCCCTCGGCCCCCAGGCTCTGACACAGAGCCCGCTGCCAAGCAGCAGACCGGCTGCGGGCTGGTGAGGTCAGAGCGGGACGGTCAGGTCAGAGCGGGACGGGTACCAAAGCCCCGGCCCGTGTCCCTGCCCCCTGCACTCCATGCCCGGCCCCAGGGCCTTATCCCGATTCTACAGGCTCAGAGGCTGATGTGGAAAAAGCTGTCACAGGCCAGCACTCAGGGAAGCAGTGTTTTTTTTTAAGATTTTTATTTATTTGAGACAGAGAGAGCACAAGCAGGGGGAGCAGCAGGCCGAGGGAGAAGCAGACTCCCCACCGAACAAGGAGCCCGATGTGGGGCTCGATCCTAGGACCCTGGGATCATGACCTGAGCTAAAGGCAGATGCTTAAGGACTGAACCACCCAGGTGCCCCACTTTTTGGCCTTTTGAATAAGAAAATTGATTTCAAGCCTTTGTGCTTGAGTTCACATTTCGTTAAGTCACTGTCCTCTTGCCCTTGGTGTCCTGCTCTGTGAAGTGGGGTCTCGGTGGTCAGGGCCGCTGCGTGGATGCGGGAGGCTCCAGGCTGAGAGCTTTCCAGAGACTGGGCCACCGCCAGAAGCCCTCACCCCTGCCCCCCAATGCCCTCTCCTCAGGACCTCCTGCAGCTCCAGTATGAAGGTGTAGCTGTTATGAAACTCTTCAACAAGGCCAAGGTCAATGTCAACCTCCTCATCTTCCTTCTCAACAAGAAACTCCTGCGGCAGTGACCAAGGCCTCTTCCCCTGCTTGGTGCTTGTCTTGACACTCAACTCACTGCACACTTCCCTACAGACCCCAGGGCTCAGGGTGGACCCCCAGGGCTCAGGATGGGCTGAGCTCCAGGGTCCCACCCCTCCCCCCACTGGGAGGAGCTTGACTACCTGGCCACAGCCAGGGTCTCCTGCTAACAGCTAACTGGAGCCTCGCCCCAGAGTCTGGCTGTGTGGCTGATAAGTCCCAGACCCCTTGTCTCCCACAAGGAGGGCATGAAGTTGGGACCTGCCCTTTGCTTGGGCTGGCCTCTGGTCCCTTGTCTGCTGCTGCCTCACCATGGTCACCCGAGTATGACACACTGCTGTGGGCCCAGTTCCCTCCGCCTCCCTTCTCCCTGCACAGCCCCACCAGGTACCCGCTCCCTCCTGCCCCTGTCCCTCCCTCCCAGGACACCCATGGTGGCCTGATGGCCCCCCGGCAACCTCCGCTCTCATTCCTCTGTGGATGGTCTGTTCTCTGTGCGCCCCTCGAATATTTCTTCTACCCCGGCCCACACCTGCCTCACCATGTGGCGTTCATCATAGTTTTAATTCTGGCACTTTTCTGAGCTCAGAGGAGTTGTCCCCCATATCCGCACCAACAGTCCCGCCGGTGCCTCGGGCCGTGTCGGTTGGGGTGCCTGGGGTCAGAGGCAGGAAGGGCGCCCTGCACGTTGAAGACTCCAGCCATCCACTTCCAATGGTACAAGGGGCATCTCACCCCCTCGGGGCTCCGGCCCGAGAGCGGACTCTTCTGGGCAGTTTCAGTCCACCTGCCCCTGTCCAGCCGGCTTCCTGTCCCTCTGCTCCCGATGTCACTTGAATAAAAGCAGCCGTCATCCACACACTGCTGTTAGCGCTTGGCTTCATCTCGTGGGGAGCAGGCCCCCGAGTCCTGGGACAGCTCTCCCCTGAGCGTGGGGTCCCTCCCGTGTGGGCCCACTCTCCAGCCTGCGCTCCGGAAAGCTTCCGGAGCGGTGGCCTTTCCGCCTCTGGCCGCTCCCCCGGGGGACAGAGAGGAGGAAGGAAGGAAGGCTCAGGTTCAGAAGCGCGGTGGCCGCCCCCTGCAGGCTAAAGCCGAGAGGAGAAGCGGGTCCGAGTTCCACCCCGCCCGCTCCGCACACACGTCCAGCAGGTTCTCCTCCCGGTCTCGCTGCAGCAACTTAGTGTCTAGCTTCCGCACTCTGATCAAATCCCCTCTGCATGACCAAAGCCCCGCTCCCTGCCTCCCTGCTCTCAGGAGACGGGCAGAGTCTGGGGAGGAGGGGATGGTACAGAGACACCTGCCCCAACCTCCGAACCCCTGAGAAGCCCCTAGCGGACAGCCCCAACTTTGCCTGCTGCGGCCTGCCTGACACTCAGATCTGTCTCACTGTCATGTCCTCTCCTTTCGTGACATGTCATGGCAGAGACTTCAAGTACTGCCTTGTTCTGGGTGACAGGGACACACCATGGGTCCGGATTCCACCCATGAGCAGTCATCACTGAAAGTCTCACCCTCCACCAACGGCTCCAGCACCGTCCGAGACGTCCCCAGCGATCACCTGGCCTCCGCCACCACGCTGGGAACTGGACCGTCACAGCAGCTGCTGTCCTTGAGGGCCTGTCGTGCCCAGGGTGTTCATATGCACTCACTCTTCATAGCAACCCCACGAAGGCAAGCCGCGGCTCCCTTTGGAACCGAGACCCTGAGGTCTGGGTGACCCACCAACGCGGCAACAGGCAGTAAGGGGCAGAGCAGGCCTTTAACCTTGGGCCTGCTCCGTCTGCATTGACATTCCTCCAGAAACTTTCTCTTTTCCGAGAGAAACATCTCCACTTCCTTCAGCCCGCTGCTGAACCCTGATGAATGTCAAGGCCTTCCTAACTGCAGATGGCCAGTCCAAGACACGGGTGCTCAGCTCCCCCGGGGGAAGCCCAAGCTCTCGGGAGGACAATCTGACACCAGGGACGTATGTGCAGGTTGCCAAGAACGAGTGGTCTCTCTACTGAATGTGAGTTGGGACAGCTGAGTATCCACAGAGGGAAGCTGGACCCCTACCTCACACCGTATACAGACACCGGACCCCTACCTCACACCGTATACAGACACCGGACCCCTACCTCACACCGTATACAGACACCGGACCCCTACCTCACACCATATACAGACACTGAAACAAGTCATAGACCAAAATGTAAGAGTCAAATTCTTATAAAACTCTTAGAAGAAAACCTAAATTTTCATGACTTCAATCAGGCAATGATTTCTGAGGACACCAGAGGCACAAGCAGCAAAAACTAGATCAAGCGGGCTCCATCAAAGTTAACAACTCATGCTTCAAAGGACACCTTCGAGAAAATGAAAAAAATAAAAACCCACAGAAAGAGAAGAGATAGTTCCAAATCATGCGTCTTATAAGGATTCCTAGAATGTCTAAAGGGCTCTTATAACTCAAAAAGACAACCCAATTAAATGGGCAAAGAATTTTAATGGCCATTTCTCAAAAAAAGACACACAAATAGCTAATAGGCACATGAAAAGACGCTCAACATCATTAGTTATTAGCAAAATGCAAATTAGGTTTTAATGAGTTAACCGCTGGACGCCCGGGGATGGCTGAAGTAAGGCTGCTATTGACAAGGGTCTGAGGGCCCGTGAGGAGGGCGACGGGTTCTAGCTCCTGTCTGCTACGGTGCTTGGAAGAGGGTGGGGCCGCTTTGGAAAACAACTTGGGATTTTGCGAAATGTCAAACCTGTGAGCCAGCCGTTCCCCCTCCCAGGTATGACCCAAGAAAATTGGAAGCCCGTGTCCACACACGTCTGTACACAGATGTCCGTCAGCCAACGGATGGGACAACAGATGGCGGCGGCGCCTCACCGACAGAGCCCCGCCCAGCCACGGGAAGGGACAGAGCAGCACATGTGCCACAAGGCAGAGGAAACTCGAAAACACGGAAGGCGCAGGTCAGACACAGCGGCACGTGGGTGTGATTCCATCAGACGGACGTCCAGGCTGGGCAAATCCACAGGAACAGAAAGCAGAGCAGTGGTCGCCAGGGTCTGGGGAAGGGGGAGCACCGGGTGACAGCATGGGGGTGTGGGTTTCGGCTGGGGCCGTGGCTATGTTCCGTAGCGTAGGGAGGACTGCGCGACTGAGCAGAGTAAAACCACTCCCTTTTGTACCTTGAAAGGGTGAGTTTTATGGATGTGAGTTGTTTCAAGAAAGCTGCCACTTTGGGGCGCCTTGAGGGGGCACAGTCGGGTAAGCGGCAGCCTTCGACTCGGGTCATGATCTCTGGGTCCTGGGATCAAGCCCCATTCTTTTCCCTTTACCTCTGCCCCTCCCCCTGCTCGCTTGCTCTCTCTCGTTCTCTCTAAAATAAGTCAATAAATAAAACCTTTTTTAAAAAGAAGAAAGCAAGTTGTTATGTTTTCAAACCGCAGGAGCACACACCAGCGAGGACGGCTTCCCAGCAGCACGCGTGGCTGGGGGCAGGGGGCCAGGTGTCCAGCGCGGGACCGTGTGTGTGGTCACAGTGATCTCAGTAGAGCGACCCCACGACGGCCCCTCACACAGCTGCAGGAATGAGAGCCAGGTGTGAGGTGCTGGCGTGAAAAGCTGTCCATGGCGTATGTTTGGAAGGACATGCGAGAACCGTGGCAGGAGTCCCCTTTGGGGAGCAGGGATGGGGGAGCAGCTGCTTCTGCACCGTGATTCCCGTGAGCTTCTGTCGCTCTCGGGGGAGGGGAAGCACGCTCACGTGGCCTCCAGATCCGTGGTGTGAACACCCAGAGGAATGACTTGTCCCTTGTCCCAGAGCTGCGGCCCCGCGGCCACCCGCAGATGTGCGCAGAAATGGGGGGCAAGCGTGCCGGTGAGTCAACCCTGAAGCTAAAAACTGAAGATCGAGTTTGTACGTTATGGGTCTTTTTCATGTCATTTTTCCAGTAACTCGTTTTTGTGGCATTTCACAAAAAATACCAGCCCAGGAGCGCCTGGCTGGTTCCGTGTGGGGAGTATGCGACTCTTGATCCTGGGACCGTGAGTTCGAGCCCCGCGATGGGCGTGGAGCCTACTCAGAAAAGTATACGTACCTACAGATCAGTCTATCACAGGCTGGAAGTTTCTGGAAGGTGTCTCTCACCACAGCAGGTCTGAGGCTGCTCCTGGGGGCGCTACGGAGGGAGGGCTGTTGGATCGCAGCGGGCGCTGAGCGGCTGCGCAGATCACCTGTCCGGGCGGTCTTAGTTTCTGCGGTATTCCTTCAGCCATGAGAAACATTTTTCCATGTCTTTAAAATTTCTCCAAAACCATTCACGTCTCTAATGGAGCCCATATATTTAATGCAGTTAACATCCATGCAACGGTAAGCAGCTGCTTCCCAGTTTCACTATTAAAGCCTGGAACGGCCATCTGTGTCCGAGAGCTTTCTATTTCTAACTTACCACCTTAGAATAGAAATAACCAGATCAGGAGCAGGAGCTTTTCTTTAAAGATGGTTCGCTTATTTAAGTCATCTCTGCACCCAACGTGGGGCTTGAACTCACAGCCCTGAGATCAAGAGTCCCATGATCTCCCGTTGCAGCCAGCCAGGTGCCCCAAAGAGCATGAACTTTTTTTTTTTTTTAAAGATTTTATTTATTTGTTTGACAGAGAGAGATCACAAGTAGACAGAGAAGCAGGCAGAGAGAGAGAGGGAAGCAGACTCCCTGCTGAGCAGGGAGCCCGATGCAGGGCTCGATCCCAGGACCCTGAGATCATGACCTGAGCCGAAGGCAGCGGCTTAACCCACGGAGCCACCCAGGCGCCCCAAAGAGCATGAACTTTTAAAAAAATTACTGGTGTGTTTTTTTTTTCCCCAACTATATATTCATTGTAGAAAGTTTGGGAAATATTTATAAAGCAAAAAAGGAGTAAGAATATTTCATGATACCATTACAAAATGATAACCACTTGTAATATTTTGATGTCTTTTCTTCCAACCATATTTGTAACGAGAATCACGCTATGCATATAATTTTATACCGGTTTATTTCCATCTACATTGTAAACACTTTCCCATCTTAAATGGGCTATTCCAGGGGCACCTGGCCCGCTCAATGGGTAGAACAGGTGACTCTCGGTCTTAGGGTCATGCGTTTGAGCCCCAAGTTGGGCGTAGAGCTTACTTAAAGCAACAGCACCGACTGGGGCGCCTGGGTGGCTCACTGGTTAAGCCTTTGCCTTTAGCTCAGGTCACGGTCTCAGGGTCCTGGGG